CACCACGTACTGAGCTTTAAAACCCAACAGAAGGAAAAACAAGGAAACAATGTAGAATGAGCATCCGGTATTATTCAAGAGATAGAAGCAGGGGTATTTTGAAACTTTCTACTAAAGGCCAGTCTGACATCTGAAAATTACTTCTTGTGAATAACAAAATGTATCTATGTGACAGGATCCAAAGTCAACAGGCTCCCCTGACGGAACCTCAGCATAGGGCAGAGCCATCACTGTAAACAGATACCGAAAACAAAACTTTGATGGGTGGGATATTTCATTTTAGCCATCTGATATTTCTAAAACTATATTGAATTTTTTTACTAGCTTGAATGACTATTCACTGAAACTAACATTTAAATACAGAACTTGAAGTGTGTATATGGGGCAGGGTTGGTTGAAGCAAAATGGGTTGTACATTTTAACCTCCCCCAATGTAAATTATTTTACTCCCCACAGACTAGAATTAAATTTATGTTACTTGTTGAGTAAATACTTATATCACAGCAATTATTATACAAATTTGCATGTAGGAACACAGGTCAACTGCAGTGTATAGCAAATTTTGTTCTTGTTGAGAAAATGTTTCACTGAGTATAGATATTCCATTTTCAGAAGTAAAAATTCTGATTGCCATGTTCAATATGTGTATGGAATCCATCATTGAAAGGAGGTGAGAGTGTTCCTTACCTTGCACTCATCACAGCGCCTTCCCTGCACATTGGGTCTGCATTCACATTGTCCAGTTCTAGTGTCACAAAGCTCTGAGAAGGAGCCATTGGTGTTACAATGGCAGGCTGCAAAGACAGGACACATGGCAAATGAAAGTATGGTCCTACAAATTCGAAACATAGATTGAGTAGCTCTTATCTGAGATACTTGTGACTAGAAGCCTCTCAGGCATGAGATATATCTTAAGTATTGGAATATTTTCATAGACTTCTGTAGTTGAACATCCCTGATATAAAAGTCCAAGACTCAAAGTGCTGCAAATCTGTATGGGAGCTGTTAAAGAAAACGATAGCCTCTGGGAACATCAACACCCGAGCTGAGTTCTCTTTCAGGCATTCTGTTGCATAATCACTGCAACATCTCTACATATAAAAGACATAGTTCACATATTCTCGGCACATCACACTACTAAAACATTAATACAATTGTTACTGTAATCTTGAAGGTGAAGACAATGACTTACAAAGAAGCAATGACAAATACAATGTCACATGCTTAGAAAGTATTATGGCAGGATCAGGAATCTGCTTGAGCCATGGAGTCTCTGTTTCCTGGTTCAATGCTATGTTACCTCTTCAAAGATGCATTGGGGTAACAGCTACAAGTTATAATCACATATATAAAATATATACCCCTGGAAAGTTTAAGCAAATTTAAGAAATTTTCAGTATCAATAGTCCACTGACATAGCATTAATGTCATTTTAAATAAATTTTCAATATGAAGTTTATTTCCTATGTGCCAGTTTTTGTACTAACCTCTACTAATAAGAATGAGTTTAAATGAATACATATATATCCCTTTTATGACATAAATGCACATAAGAAAACAAAAACATTCCTTGAAATTTATTAGGAATTTAACACTATAATTGCTAAAGTTCACTTATATTTTTAAGATGTTTTTATTTCATCTCCAAATGTAGAAAACATACTGGCTTTAGTTACTTTTCTATGACTTTTGCATTAGAAAAATCTTATAAAGTTGTTCTGAAGCATATAACTGAACAACTTTAAAAACTATTTTACTTCTCTGACAGAGGTAGTAATTATTGGCTTACTATGATTTTGGAAAGTATATTTTAATGGTATACATAATTGCTCTGATTCCAGAATAAAATTGTGAGGAGAAGATGACATGGGATTCATTCATACATGGCTTTTGCAAGCATGGTACAACATCACAGCTTATAAATACATTAAAAATAGTCGTTCTGTCATCATTTTTTTTGTGTGTGTGTTTTTTCTTTTCTTTTTTTTTATTAGTTCAAGTTAGGGAACACGTTTCACATGTAAGTCCCTTCTCCCTCTTCCTCCCCTCACTCCCTCCCTACTCCCTCACCTCCAACCTACCCCCCACCCCATCCACCCACCACTCCCCAGACTGGGTAGGGCCCTCAACGGGGACTCTGCAGTGCCCACCAAATCTTCCTGTGCTGGTCCTGGGCCCTTCCCCATGTGTCCAGGGCCAGAGTGTATCCCTTCATGTGGGATGGGCTCTCAAAGTCCCTTCTTGCACCAGGGAAAAATACTAATCCACCACCAGAGGCTCCCTGGAGTGCAGAGGACTCCTTATTGACATCCATGTTCAGGGGTCTGGATCAGTCTTGTACTGGCCTCCCTGACAGCATCTGGGGTCAATGTACTCTCCCTTGTTCAGGCCACCTATTCCTGTGGGTTTCTCCAACCTGGTACAGACCCCTTAGCTCTTCATTCCTCCCCCTCTTCAGTATTATTCTGCTCACTTGGCTTCAGGTTCTACTTCTCTTAATCATTTTTTTTTCTAAAATTTTCCTGGCCCTCTTCAATCATGTGGACATGAGAATTGCTCTGCATAGTGTAACTTTACATAAATTTCTTGTGCACATTTATACCTAAACTTTGCAAATTTCAAATTATTTAGAATCACTAACTTCCTTTTTTAAAAGTAGGAATTACAAAATTAAATTTACCATAAAGATGGTGGTAAGTGACCAATGCCATCTAAAAATAACAAAAGCAATAGATTTTAAGTATCTATTGAGAAATAGGACATTCATGAAATTTATCTTGACAAAAATAAAGGACTTTTTTTTTATTCAGAAAACCTTTTTTGTGTGTGTGTCTGTGCTTTTCAAGATGGTCCCATTATATAGCCCAGGTTGACCTATGTCTCTGTGATCCTTCTGCCTCAGGCTCCTGATTTCTGTGATTACATTGCTTAGTACCAAAGTTATGAACTTGTTTTGGATGAGGGCTTACTCTCTATGCATAGAGAAGATATTATAACCCTGAAAAAATTCACTAAAGTATTTTATAGACTTTACATCAAATTATATGCTGAAGAGCCTTAAAAATCACAACCAGACCTATACTTCATGGCAAGTGGTAGCAAACTGATGATGACTCATTTTGTTTTTGTTTTTTCTGTTCTCATATTTTTCTCCATTCTCATAGAATTTTATACCACAGGTAATAATAAAATGAGTGGAATGTCTAACTTTTCGGAGGGAGTTATTAGAAGACATAAAAAGAAGTCATGAAATGGTTAATTAGACCTGCAATTAGTGAGCCGCTAATACACACAATTACCACAGGGACCACTTCCAATTACCACAGGGACAATGGCAGGTATCTCCACCATCAAGAGCTCACCACATCCCCTGCATATGATACATCTACCAAGCCTCAAAGAAAACTCATTGGATATGAGGAAACCATTCCTACTGTCCCACAACTAGAGACTAAAATTCCCAGGTGTTCTGCATGAACATAAGGCATTCTTGTGTTCCCTGATATTTCACAGAAATGCCAAATTCCACAGTGTTGAAAGTCACTCTGGTCTTGTGGGAAATTTTGTTTAGAAAGTCAGTTTGTGATTTTAACAAATGCCAGTTACTCCAGAGAGTGATTTCTTTTTGACTTAACAAATTGTCATACTGAAAGGACAAAAAACTAACACCCAGCTTCTCAATTTAAGAGAGAAACATCTTTTCTTGAAAGAGGGTCACTGTTGTTTGCAGCAAAGATATCAGGCATAGTTCCCTGTGGTGTCTGAAATTCCATGGGTCCTGGGACTCACCTTAGCATTGGGTCTCTGCTTACCACATTAATTCAGCAGAAATGAACTGTTGGTCTTAAAGCTTTCTTCCTAAAGACTTTATCAGTAAAGTGGATAGCTGCCAGTAAGCTCCAGAACATTTATTCCTTTGCTTATTGTGCTGTTATAACACAATTGTAATGTAAGACTATTCCATGTGACACTAAGTTTTATAGCTCAGGAGAAAAAGATGAGAGGAAGAATACCTTGTACCAAACTGCCTCAAACCTTTGAATAACATTCTACAAATAACTCTCACACAAGAATTAATTACTCAACTATCAAATGCCAGTGTGTGAAATCATTGTCATGTTCTTACACTAGTTAGGAAATTACAAAAACTGTAAAGTCGACATATGAAAGCAAATCAATTAACACCCACTGACAGGTACCATGCAATAATATGAACAGATGGATTTATTCAATCAAATGATTAAGTTGATACTAATGAAAAAGGCCAAAATAGGCCCGTATCATTTCTAAATTCTTTTTTTTGTTACAGATTTAAGTACATTTAAAAATTTTATTGCATATGTAAGCATAAATATGTATATAACATGAAAATCAACACTAGCAATATAATACATTTTAAAGAGTTAATTCTGTTCATTACTACAAAGAAATATTTTGGAACGTGCAGACTTCATGTCTTCACTGGGCATTCATCATCCATGTATTACAGATAATTTCCTAGTCTCCAATCCCCACTCAAGAACTCATCAGCTTCTTTGAGGTATCATACATCAATTCTGTCAGGGACATCAATAGTTCAGGACTTACGTTGACAGTTCTTTGCATCAACTGCATCTCCAAAATATCCATCAGCACAGAGCTCACAGTACCGGCCTGTTGTACCAGGCTTACATATCAGACAAGAGCCAGACAAGCTGTCACAGCTGCCAGGGATGGAGAAGTCAAGGTTGTCATTGCATCGGCATGGCTGACATGATCCTCCAGGTATGGAAGGTTGTCCAAAATAGCCTTCTGCACACCTAGGGTAATAATTTCCAACAGTGAAATTTTAGTGTGTGTGTGCGGGGGGTGGACTCAAGAAACCCACCCAACTCAATGTTTGTATAGTTTTCATATTCCTCTGCCAGGATAATGGATTTTCTTCTTAAGTGCTCCTTTTCTAAAACGCAAAGTGATTAAAAAATGCTTTTCTGTAACTGTGGTATAGATACAAGATGAAATCTGCCAGCTCTACTTATAATTAGATTTCAGCAGATAATAAAATAAAATCTTGTCACTGACATTGAAGATGGAACCAAAGCATAATAAGAAATCTGTGGTTGGCATTATGAAGGAATATAAGTCCATATTGCAAAGCTTTATAATATAACACATCATGTCTCCAAATCCAATTGGTCATTTTCTGTACACACACACACACACACACACACACACACACACACACACACACACACACACACACACACACACACACACACACACACACACACGGTTCACACACGGATCATATTTTTGTTGCTGTTGTTTTTACAGCAAGAGTTTATTATGAGGAACAAACTCAAACTCAACATTTATTGAAAGAAATTGTGTCTCAGAAAATACTGTCACTTGGGTAGGAGTTCTGAATTAACAAAGTGTTTGTGTACATTCGCATATATATTAAGAGGCTGCTTTTCGGTGAAGAGTCTTCATTCAGGAGAAGTCTAAGTAGGGGTGCTTGCTATTACAGCAGTGGGCTATAGGGTGGTGCTGACCAGTCACACAAATTCACATCAGAGAATTCTATGTCTTCATTAAAAACATCCAACCCCAAACTGTATTTGAAAAAAAAACAACACATACATTTATCATTTAGAAACTGTGTTATGAGTTATGTTAACCATGTTTCCCTGTTGTACATGTTTTAAAATACTATTCAATAGTAAAGATGCTCAGATTTCCCATTTCTGTTTGGCTTGGTCCCCTCAGTTACATTTTCTCCTGCTTTGTATCAAAGAAGAGATGAAGGAGCATTGGAAGTCTGTGGCCACTCTACCTCTGCTATATGTGACATCTTATCAAATAAAATACTTCCCAGCAGTGCTCGAAACTTAGAGGAAACATGAACACTGTAGGAGACAGCATACATTGCCAATGCTGTGTGCCTTCTGCTCAGATACAAGAGATGCTCTTCCATTTGAAACATGAATGTTTTAACTACAGTATGCATTAATAACATTATTAGGTCAAAGTTGTTCATTTGGTACAGATAGATTGATCATCCGAAGTTTCATAGAAGCTTTATAAGTGGGAAAAAATGTTGCAGATCTGAGATTTTATCCCAATCTTTTAAGAGGTATTTTAATTATTCCACAAGATGGTTAGTAAAATTCTGAAAACTGTATAATCAGATATTAGAAGAATATTGCTACTAATTATTATTGCCAATAATTACTTATTAGTTCTCTACTATAGACCATGAAATAGCATTATAGTGCATAAAATTTCCTCACAATTCCTTCTGAAGTTTTCTTTTAATAAATAAGAGGATAACGTTGAATTTGTAACCTGATTTTTACCTTATTTGATCTTAGGATATTATGATAATGTCCTCATATGCTCACATCTCATTTTGCTTTTCCTAAGATTGCCTTTGCCAGTAAGACAAACAGTTGTATACTAATCATTATCAAAGCCAAAAAAAAAACCCATTACTTTCATCTTGATTCTTTCATAATGTCTTGTTGACCTCAGGAGAGATGGAATTATGTAATGAAGTATTACACATTTTCTGACAAATGTACCCATATTCTCCTGGAATTAAAATATGCAAGCAGAAAAATACAATTAAACAGAATAAATAACAGAATAAATAAGCAGGCACCTGCCAATTTTATTTCAGGATATAGATAAAGAAAATGTGTGAATATACGTGACAATTCATATACCACATGATTGATGTGGAATTCTTACCTCCTCCTAGTGCACAGTCACATATGAACAACCTTTAAATGTTTAATCATTTCGTGTTTATTCCTGACATATACATGTGTGCATAGGACTTTAAAAAGAGCTAAAGAGATTTCATTAGGGAATAAAAAGCATCCCAGTGGGAGAGAATATCATGCTACAAGCCTAGTATCAATAATGAAATTTACTATTACTCTTTTGTGCCATCTATTTAAATTTAGTAAATATTATAGCTCTGTAGATTGCCCCAGCCTCCCAGATTTTCTCTTTCCCAAAACTAATTATAATGTGAAATCTCCAGACCTCTCATTTTCACAGAAAGGGCAAAATGCAGACACTAAAGAACATTTTGTGGGGTTCTTTGTTAAATATGGAAACATGTTGCCTATACCTTTCCATGTTTGTAATTTCTCAGGTCAAATCATTATTGTTTGACAAAAGAATATTTAAATGTAAATGTGAATTCAGGCTATACAACAGTTCTGTAGGTGATCATTTGGGAACAATATCATTTACTATAGGAGGGGAAAAACTAATGAGGATGAATGGCAGATATAGAGACCAAGTATAATAGGAAAAAATACAATAGGACTGAAAGGACTTTTATCTCACTCTGCTCCATCAATTCTCAGAAATCATCTTTGACCTAATTTCTCATTCTCCATCTTCCTTAAAAACAAAGCTTAAATAGAAAAGGAGAGAAATCAACAGAGCAATTTTATATTACACTAATATATAAAAGGCATAGTATCATCCTAGTGTCTAGGCCCAAGAAATATACACTTAAAATTCTAACCACAGAACAACTAGAGATACATGAGAGAATCAATGTACAGAACCCCCAAAGCCCTGTGATGGGGGTGTTCTTCTATATATGTGTTTCTCTTATTGGTTGATGAATACAACATGTGGTCAAAAGAGGTAGGGTGATAGGTAGGACTAGGAGACGAGGAGAATTCTGAGAAAGATAGAGAAAACCCGGCAGAAAGAATCATCATGGAGCTGCCAAAGTAGTTAACAGGACCAGGCATTCTCCGGTAAGCCAAGACCATGTGGAAATACATAGATTAATAAAAATGGGTTAATAATTAAGACAGAGCTAGCCATTAAGAAGCCCTAGCCATTTGACCAAGAGTTTAATAATTAATATAAGTCTTTGTGTGTTTATTTGGAGATGAGAAGGGTGGTGGGACCAGGCTAGAGAAGAAAACTTTCATCAACAGACCTTTTCAGGACGCAGAGCTGACTGCTGGTAACTGAACAGGTGCTAGTGCCTGGTTTAAAGGCAGAAGGAATGTAGTCATCTTTCAGAGAGAACTACATCAGCCAAGGAGAAGCCTGTCATCTAATGGGTTTGCCTGGGCTGTGGTGCTGTAGTCTCACTACTTCCCATTCAGCTAAATACTAGGCTAGCTGGCATTGCTCACAAGGTGCCAGCTGAAAGCAGCGCAGAGGCAGTGGGCCCAACTGGACCCCTGAGCACAGCGCCGAGGCTGCACTGGCAAGAAGTGGTTCTTGGGCACAAAATCTGGGTGCTAGATCCAAGAGCCAATCACTCCTTTCTCCAAGTTCACAATTGCATGCAAGCAGCATCTAAAAACCTTAGCTGTCACAATTCTGATTGTGACAGAATTATTAAGAAGGAATAAGTGCCTCTCTGCAGCCAAGACCTAAGGATTGAAGACTGAGACTTGGACAGAAAATGTCTGCAGCATTGTGATTGAGAATGAGTGTACTTGATCCAGTTTAAGACCTCTCTGAAATAGAGAATATCTAAATGGCTTCTTGGAATTGAAATGAAAGAAAAATGACCTCCATTTATATCCAGTGTGAATCTTGTGGTTAAAATTTGGTGAATTTTAAATTTACATTATTTAAATGTAAGTTAAATTAAACTTAAATTTCATTTAAAATTTAAATTGAAACATGGTAAAATTTCAAAATGTTAAGCCTTTGGGGTCAATTATCTTCCACATTTTCCATGGTTACTATGTAAGTACTCTTTGGGCTTCTTTCTTTTTACCTAGTGAGTTCTTAGTATTCGCCAGCTGAGGAGGAGTTGGGGTTTAACAAATCCACAAATTGTACTGTTTCACTTTTTCCTGTAAAATTAATTCTCTTAGTTAATGTGTCATGTTATTTCTCAGGGTCTCAATATATTGTTGAGACTACAGATGCCAAGAGTCCCTTAGTATCTGACTCAGTGTCACTGGCACTTAATTAGCTTTGTGTTCTTTTTAATTTTTCCTTCATAGTCCAGTGCTCACTTGATCCCTTCATGTCTTTCACAATGCCGTTTCTCTCTACTGTTCTAAATGCTCTAAGCCTAGAATCTTAACAAAGTACCATGATAAACATCTTTTTCTTGATATCCTAGCTCTGTTTCCTCGATGTAAGTCTTCCTCAGCATAGAAGCTCTGTTAAGTGTTTGCAGGTTACAAATAGCAACTGGAATCCCTAAGAATTTCATTAATAATTTGATACATTGTTCTATTTACAGTTGTCATCCTATTCACTAGTTTTGTTGGTTGGCCATTTTGCTTGGATTTTTCATTCCCTCAATTCAAAGGACAAATCCATCTTGTACTATATGCTCCAGTAAAGGAATTTGACAGGTAGGAAAACAGGAGTATGTGGAATTTTTAGACTTGGTTTGTGGTTTCTATTACCTTCTCATTTCTTGCAAATCTTGCCCCAAAACAAAAATTGCATGATTCCTCAGGACAGAGGAGGATAGCTAAGGGACTATTGACATTTTGTTGCTGCTGTAAGAGGGAAAGTCAGTTTTCTACAAAGGATGACACCTTGTGTATTAACCACACTCAAGAAGTAGCACACTCTGTTTTGGGGTTTGTTCATTTGGATAGTTGGGTAGTTTTGCATGTGGGGGTCTTTTTTAAAGGGGAGGGATGAAGTTGGGTGAGAATGGAAGTGAGAAAACGTCTGGGAGGGGCTGAGGCATGAATATAATGAAAATATATTGGGTACAATTTCAGAGAATAAATAAATGCATCATTTAAAGGAAATGGGATGGAGTCAGAATGTAACAAATGAAGATATAGATGCAGACACTTTCCAGTGTTTGATTTAGGACGCTGAATATTTTCTGAACAGTTATTCTTCTAAGAGTGGGAAGAAAAGGAAGGCAGTTAGTTAGATCTAAAGGGAAAGCTAATTGTGAGGACCAGGGAAAGGTATTGGTTACTCAGGACTGGTCAGCCACACTATGTATCCATTTTTATGAAACACTGATAATCATAGACACTCACCTACCACACGCACATGCACACAAACATATTGAACTCTGGAACTTGTCAGAACTTTAATTCAGGATGGCTTTTGAAAGAGAATAGAGAAAAATTCTAATTGTCCAGTCAATGCCTCTAAATCATCACAACTTCCATAGAAGACTGTAGTCTCACAAAGGAAATAAATTTAGATAGAGAATATAAAGTTGTAATTCATGTCTTCTCAACATATTCATATCCTAAAATAAAGGTAGAAGATTTAAGTCTGCATATGTATAGTCATATCTGAGCCAAACACTTTCACTGGGCTTCCTCATTGTCTATTAACACGTTCATGGACATCTCCTGAACTTAAGTGATTATTGAAAGGTTCAGGCATTATGCTGGCTTGCCTTTGTTATCTGGCAGAATCCATTCAGGCAGTAACATGGTCAGCCCAGGGATCTATGGGAACTAAATCTGCACACAGGTGCAAAGGACCTCTTTAAATGGCAGACCCCTGCCCACTTATGCTCTTTTCTCTCTGTTTCTACTCCTCTTATCTTCTCCCACCTATACTCTCTCTGCCCCTCTGTCTCTTCTCTCTGCTTCTCTGTCTATGGCAACCGGCTATGGCAGTCAGCCATTAACCCTGTTCCTCTTCTCTCTTAGTCTCTCTACTCTGCCAGGCCTATAATAAACTGGTTAATATGTCTAATAGTCTCATGTCTCATCTTGTGCCTCTTCTTTTATTTCTAATTTAAGCAAAAGAATAGTAATTATGGAAGTCCTTACTACAGGAATAGTGACAGCATGGAAGACACCATGTCAGTTTTAAAACATTGGTTTTGGTTGTTGTGTGCATACAGGGATCACACAAGTCTTTCACAGAATGGTCACAAGATATGCAATGTAACCAGTAGCCCATCTTGAGCCCGACTCTGCTATTTTTTCAATATCCACAACTACATCTCAAAAATATTTCTGTTAGTATTTATGATCCATCTGATGGATATTTTGACTCAAAAATACTGAAATGGCAAACCCACGTGTTCAAGGAAAATCTTAACCCAAATGATGGCTAAGAAAATACATCATCTCATTACCTCTCTAATAATATTAGTAGATTATTTTTGGCTGACAAATTTAAATTAGAATTAAGATGTACCATTTGCTACACGGTGTATGTATCTCACTCTCTTTTTAATCTGAATAATACAGATTTTAGACAGGACATCATGCTTTCTGTCAGCTACTTCTTTCCTTGCTGATTTTCATCAATTAGAATTCTCCCTAGAACACATGTGACTCTTCTTACTGACATTAAAGAAGGGTGTGAGCTACTTGAGGACAAAGATGGAAAAACACATCTGTTTGTTTTCAGTGTGTTACCTTGTACCTAACATATGGTACTTGCAAAATAAATATTAGTTAAATAAAATGTAACTTGTTAAATTGCAGATGTTTCAGAAACTGTCTAATGTGTAGAAAGGACAGTGCACCAAGCAAAGCAAAATAAACACATAAGAGACCATGCTCACCCAAATAAGCAGATTTAATAGCCTTGTATGACAGAACAGCTGTCATTTTCCAGTTGCTAAAAAAAAGATCGTCTGTAGTGAGCTAGGGGGTACTAGACATTGATGTAAATCTACCTCAGTGATGGTATGCTGTCCTATTAGAATGTCATATATACTCATGCCTTTCTCTTTTTTTTTTGAAAAAATACACAATTAAAGATGTTCGGTTTCTCAACTGCACTTATTTCAGGTCCATTCTCCCCTTTCTCATTTACAGATGCTGCCACAGGCCTATTATTGCTGGAAACTGCAGCTGGCATGCTGTGTGCAGACCACTAGCTGCTGGCCAACTTCTCCCTGGGTGAAGGTTTGAACAGGCGATAGCTGCCAAGAAAGCAGGAAAAGATGGATAGAAATAGCTCTCCTTATGGTTGGCCTTGGTGAGGAGGAGTGAAGGCAAACCATGTCCATAATATGGTTTGTCTTCCTCTGTCTCACCCATATCCCCAGCAATGGTCTCCAAGAGGAATTCTTTTCAGCATTAAACACAGGGGGAGGAGGTGTTCTGTTTGTCCACATCTTCAAGGAAGAAACTTGCATCACTTGTTAAATTAGGAGTGAATACACACAAAAAACAGTTCTTTGAATATTTTTAAGGAAGAAATACGATTATGGAAATTGTCTAAAATAATATCTATGTTCCTGCTGCCCAGAAACTCAACAGGAATTAAGATACCAGTTTAAGAATGATTAGAAGGGGATATAAATCATGATAATAAATTACACTTTGTTTTTGTTTCAAATATATTTACAGTAAATTATAGGCCACTTGATGAACTATGAACTATGAATTTAAGCCACATTTTAAGGACAAAAAGATAATTATGAAAAATAAATGGTTCCAAGGGTAGACAGTAAGATAAATCTTAAAATGATGGCTTTCCACTTGAGCAACACTTTTTTAAAAAGAGTGTAGGTTAATGCTTAACCTTTAAGATTAAAACATTAATCAGATATCCTCTGAGTGAATGGAGATTTATAGACCAATTTCCAGAGAATAAATAAACTATAAAAATAGAATGCATTTGTGTGACAAGTGTGATAAGAAAGTTTATTTCACCTCTTTGAGCACTGCAGCTTTTCTGGAGCAGGGGAAGATCATGCCTGTGGCTTTATAACTCCCAAGGTAGAAATCATTTTGCAAGACAATGTGGTATGTGCTTACCTCTCACAGCGTGGTCCTGTGTACCCAACAGGACATTCATCACAGATCAATCCCAGACTCCGGTCTAAATGGCATGTTGGACTAAAGCTGTGGTGATGTTTGGGAGATAAGAAGAAGCATCCATGAGATCATTAACAGTGAACCCTCCTATCTCTTTCTCTACCACTGCAGTGACCAAAGAGTACAGGCTGGCCAGTCTCATCTCGCAGGCAGAAAATAGAGTCTAGCCAATGGGGGATGAAATGGCATCGCTATTTCAACAGATATGAATATATCCCAGTGAAGAGCAGGGTCCCTGTGACATGTTATTAACTGACTTTTGACTTTTCTGAGATCACCAGTAAGAAGAGTGAACACACAGCAGCTTTTCAAGAATTCCATAGCCCTTATAAAACCTACTTGCACAGCCTTCCTCTCCAAGCATATCTTCAGAATTTGACGCAGCATGTAGAATTCTGGGAGACGTTTAGACATCAGTAGAGTCATGGTGGCTGTGTGGGTTCCTATATTCAGAGCAGCCACCACGGGGCAGGGCATGCAGGCTGCTCTGCGTATGTGCCCACAGGCATGTGTTTACATGGATGGAAGAAGCTTTCAGTAAAGATCTAATGCATACATTCTGCTTGATTTATAATTACACAAATTAAAACAAACTAGCTTTGTTGTTTCCCATCTCCTGGCATGTGCCAAAATTTACCTGTCTTTAAACAAAATTAGGGGCTGAAATGACAGAGTGTGATATCAAGTGAGAAAACCAGCACAGTTATATGGCAGCATCACCTCACCCCCCCTTTTCCCCTGTTCAGCGTTAGTGCCACTTCTGGTAAGAGACACCTCTCGAGCAACAACTAACTCAATGTAACTGTCTCCTGGTTTTGCCATGAGCCAGCCCTTATGCATTCTGAGTTCTCTGTTACACTGTTCTTTTTTAAAATTTATTTAATTTTTATTTAAATTAGGAACAAGCTTGTTTTACATGTCAATCTTTGTTCCCTCTCCCTTCCCTCCTCCTTTGGTCCCCCACCAACCCCCTATCCCATTCCCTTTCTGCTCCACAGGGAGGTTGAGGCCTTTCATGGGGGATCTTTAAAGTCTGTCATATCATTTGGAGCAGGGTGTAGGCCCTCCCCCATGTGTCTAGGCTGAGAGAGCATCCCTCTATATGGAATGGGCTCCCAAAGTCCATCTGTATACTAGGGATAAATACTGATCCACTACCAGAGGCCCCATAGATTGCTTAGACCTCCCAACTGACACCCACATTCGGGGAGTCTGGATCAGTCCTATGCTGGTTTCCCAGCTAACAGTCTGGAATCCATGAACTCCCCCTTGTTCAGGTCAGCTGTATCTATGGGTTTCTCCAGCCTGGTCTTGACCCCTTTGCTTATCTTAAAATTTTATTTTTATCTGATATACAAAATTATATATAATACAATTATAGATTTTATATTTATGTGATAATATAATTATATATAGATGCTATACCATGTTTCACAGTATGCCTTGTATGTATTTAAATCGTGTTAAACATATGTCCTAAAACATCTTTCATTTTTTTACATTAAAATTTTTCAGAGTCTCATGTTGCAGGTTTCTGAAATTATATATATTTGTGTGTGTGTGTGTGTGTGTGTGTGTGTGTGTGTGTGTGTGTGTGTATGTATGTGTTTGTTTGTGTATTGCTCTTACCTACAGACTCCTTATTATATATCATGTGAGAGATTCTTGGTATCTATTAATTACAGTTTCATATTTGTTGATCGGCCTTCTCTACTCCACTGCTTCCCATCACTCTCAGTCTCTTCTCATAGGAATGATCTCTGTGAGATCAATTGTTCTAGACTCCATGTCATCCACTGTTTTAAAGGTAACTGCCCTCAATTAATCTTACTCCAATTATGTTTTCCCCATAATATTTTCTATTCTAATATAAAACTATTTAGTAAAGAATTGATTAAAAACCAAATAATTAAAGACATCACAATAAATTAAACACATTGGGCCCTGGTCTTTTTCTGCATCTGACACTTGGTATGACTCAAGAATATTTGTCCAACTTGGTGCCAATCAGATTGTGACTACCATTTAAAGGTAACCTTCCTCTGGCATAATTCTAAGTGGTCATGCAATGCTTCAATAGTTCTCATTTCTCTATAGTAAGAAGTTATTATGATCCATTGGACCCTTCAGACTAGCTATTTTAACTCATTGGAAAGCCTAAATGAATCTGTGAGGTAAAAGAGAAACTCATTCAGGAAAACCTTGAACATATAAATGTTATCTAAGTGGAGAGGTTCTGATGGGAGTTGTCAGAACTCAGCTTGTAGTCTAAGAGGACTCTCTTGTTAGAGGAGAGTGCACCACAAAAGGGTTCACAGGTGTGAGGTCTTGGCACTTATTAAAACAAATAAATGGGAAAACTATTGTTCCCATTACTTCCTTGTCATTTATTATTGTTTGAAAACCTGAAAGAAGGACCTGAATTCTGACAACTCACTATTGTGTACATCTGTGTTCTTCCAAAATTGGCATTCTCTAACTGCCTTATCTTTATGGAGACAGGAGCCCCAAGGAGAAGCTTGAGTTTACTAGCCTTGTTGGACTATAGTAACTCCTTGAAAACCAAGTGAATTATTTTTTAAAATTCTAAGGCAGCTTACCATAAAGACATGTCAGAGGTGGGTGACAAGCTTCTGACATCTTAAAACCATTTCTAAAATAAATCCTAAATTCTTAAAAATACTCTGTTGTCAGTTAAAACTCACAGCAATATAGTCAGTCAACTGAGCTTACTGACAGAGAGAGATACCTTTTCAGGAAAAAAGTATTAAGCAATAACAATATATGCAATGTGACAAGCTCTTACATTTCAGAGGACTTTTATCATAAGTGTATGGAATTTTAGCATATTCTTATGAGCTGGCTGAAACAAACTTATTTTTTCTTCTTCAAGGTCACACACTAATTTCCAGGAGAATTTACATGAGATTCATGACTTCAGGGCCTTCATTTGATCCACTTCCCTCCCTATAACCACCTGTCATTCAAACTTGCTGGTGAGATTACGTGAGTTTAAACTCCTGGTAATATAAATACTTGCCACAATGTATTCAAATAAAATCTCCTCTTAAAATATCCCCCTATGTATGCTTTCATATTTTTTAAATAATGCTACCTGAGCACTGTTTTTTTTTTTTTTTTTTTTTTTTTTTTTTTTCTGGAGTAACTGTAGCAGCAGCTATAGGAGAAGGTGCCAGCCAATAACATAAAAAAAATTAGAATGAGCAACTAATGTGCATAGTAATGATGCCCTGGACTCTGGACCAGTAGAAGAGGCATCTCTAAACTGATTCTTGTCCAAATATGAAGTTAATTGCTGTGAGACACAAAGAGCGAATGGTAAAATGATCACCGACTTCAAGTGATTCCACCTTATGCCATTCAACTCTAGTTGGCTCATTCTTCTCCAACAGAATAAAAGGTCCTTCTTCCTACATTTTCCAGCCCATGACACTAAACACTGGGTGATCCAAGAGCACAGATATTGCAGATAGACAAGCTACTGTTGTGATGAATAGTATAGCCCTTCTAGCTAGCGAAGCATATATTACTATATGTAAAAAGACTTTTGAAATTTCCCTCAGTTGTGCAATGTGTGCATGCACACACACATAAACTCATATGTACAATCACAATACTACATGAATAAATGTAAATCAATTTATGTGTAACTATGAATTCACATGTACACGTATAACTAGCTTTGCCCTCAACAATGTTAAATTGTCATGGAATATAGTGGAATAGCTTGTCCTAAAATAAATTTCACAATTATAAGTACCAATTTTGTTAATTTAATGTTACTGTGTGTGTGTGTACATATGTGTATAGTGTACATGTGTGTATGGTTTTGGTATTTATGTATGCACACATGTATGGGGCTGTACATGTGTGTGTGCTCATTCATGGTGGCCTGAAACTGATGTTGGTTATCTCACTTAATATCTACTTTATTTACCTAGGGAGGATATGTCTCTCTAGATCTGCAGATCACCAATTTTGACTTTCTCTTCAGATTGCCTATCTCCACTTCCTAATTTTTGAGACTATAAATCTCTGTCATGCCTATTTAACTTTTGGATAGACACAGAGTTTAAACTCTTGTCATCATGCTTATTTGGTAAGTAGAGTATCCATTGAGCCATTTCCCCAGCCCAATAAAACCTTATATGTAATCCCTAAAATCAAATCTAGAAATGTTCCATTGTTTTACAAACCTAGCTCTTGGTATTCCCGATGCCTACCAAGTACTACATAGGACTTGTCAAAGCCCAACCTCCCATCACTCTGACAATACCTCTAAACACATTGCACAACTGAGGGAAATTTCAAAAGTCTTCAATGATAGTATCTTTTCTTTTTTAAATCCTAAGTGTTCAAGCAAAAAATTCATGGATTTTTGTCTTTAAACTATGATCAATGTAACTAAAAATTAATGAATATAAACTGAAATGCTTATACTTTATTTGCTTCTCCAGAAGGAAATTTCATTACTTTAGTTACTATGTATGGTAAAAATATATACATCAGTAAGACGAAAAGGACAGTGTACACTGTAAAAAGCTGATGAAGGTGTTCTATAGTTATAATTTAAATATTATATGCTCATCTGTATCCATACATCTTAATAATTATACCAATCTGTTTTTATCTCCCTCACATTTGATTTATTTAGCAATATTATCTAAGAAATTTGGAGCCAAAATGCCTGTGATTTCTAAGATTTATGACCAAGGATTAAGAGATAAATCACTAAGATAAAGCTATCACTAAGCCTGCACTTCAGATGGAGGTTGCAGCAACCTTTAGCTCTTTTTTATTATTTCTGAATAACCTGTGAAAATTCAAATCTCATCTTATAAATTAAATGTGAAAATTCAATTATACATCAGAGTACCTAGCTCAGATTACAACAGTAAATTTGTTTTTTAAAGGTTTTTTATTCCCCATATGAGAAGATGGTTTCCTTCATCATTAAGTGCTTACACCTACTGAATTGTTTTGATGAAAATATTTAGGCTATTAAATAAAGATGATCTTCCCACAACATGGTTGTACAGCTAAACTATAACTATTTTGTGAATTGTTTTAAATTTGAAAGAATATATGACTTTAGTCATAAAACTTCTATGACTTATAAAGCACATGGAATACTGTTAATTCTTATGTTTATGTTTACAAAAACACCACAATTAAATCTGTAATTTAAAATAGGCAGCCTCTCTCCCTATGAATCTACTATTAAAAGTAAAATTATTATTTCATAATTAAATATTTACTTTAATAAATTATCTTAAAATTAATCAATTATGCCCTATGTTACTGATGTTATTGTATTATATTATTTTTATTTGTTAGAAAACCTGTTCAGTGTAATTAAACCAAACTGGAATATATTTGTTTTAGGAAACAAAATCATTAGACACTGGGAGCCCAACGCCTTTGGCAGCATGGGTGGGTTTTTAATGTTTGCTGAGTTAGTTTTCTAAGGAAGGAATAATTAGAAGCCTTTATAAAAAGAAACACACAGCAAACATAGAGGGAACAAGGGTCATGAATTCTAGTAAATATGAAGCACCTTCTCTCCCAAATGATTCTCATGTGCAACATTGGTCAGACTTGAGAGGAAATCCATAACGTCTATACATTAAAATATTTCTATACTTGTGAAGTGTACTTGGCTGGGATTCATAAGACAAAATGAATGACCATATTGCTGAAATGATAGATGTGAAAATACTGACAATATTTTGGCTGAGATGTGTTGTAGGGGAATATCAGGTGTCACCTGCCTGATCTTATCAGTAAAGATTGGTATAGGTATAGGTAGATGCGTTGGACAATACACAGTAAACATGGAGGTGAACCCTTCAAATGTACAGCTGACAGCAGTCTGGTCACATTATGTCCAGCACAGGTCTACTTTGTACGTTTGAATTTAGTTAGGGGTAAGATTGTAGCTCAGTGGTATAGCATGTCAGTCAGCATGTTCAAGGCCCTGGTTTTAATTTACAGCATCAGAAAGGACAACAATAAAGAAATAAAATGGCAACTATTTATAAATATTCATTATAAAATTAATAATGTATTTTCAGTGTGGTGTACATTATAGTAATATTTTTGTCATTGTTGTTTCAGGACCTATTCATTTAGACATACCTGTGCTTTGAAATGTCTGATCCAATAGCTTGTTTTCATAGGTGAAAAAACGAGAAAAATTTATAGAAATTGTGTGACAGTTACATTAAAATTTTTCAAAATCTACATTATTTATACAAGGTAATATAGCAACCATCATCCAAAGTTCATATTCATTTGTGATACAATGATGCCCTGGAACAAGTTGAACATAAAGTATATTACAATAAATGATGATTTGTGAGGGGTATAGATTTGCTCAAACGTGGTCTGTTCTTTGGAGTTAATTTAGAAATTTCATTTGAGTTTTATCTCTTAAGTCCTAAATCAAATTTAGAGGCCAAATAGCAAAATCCTTGGAAATGGTCATAATTTTAAATACTTCACACTTCAAAACTTAAGTTAAAAAAAAAAAAACTTATGTTACCCTCTTGAGAAATCCACAAATGTAACTTTCTGATATGAAAATTGCTTCTTTAGACATGGAAGTGAAGTACGGTCAACTGGTACTTACTTATTTGATGGGATATTGAGTGGACAGGAACAGGGTTGACAATCTTCAGAGGTTCCTCGAGTAGGATCACCATAGAAACCAGGAAGACATTCATTGCAATATGGGCCACTTGTGTGATCCTTACAGTTCTGAGAAAGAAGTGCATACTAGTTCGTTACTTTGGTTTCAAGCACAACCATGTTACCAAAAATACTTCTCCAAAGTTATTAGACTGTCCCCATTTGGGAGAGTAATTTGCCACATTAAATGTTGAATTTTATAGAACAAAAGTGGCACTGGAAGTTAATTTAATATGTATTTAATATTTAGCTTACAACTACATGCTAGATTCAGTGTAACATACTTAAAAATCAATAACCAAAATTCATTAAAAATTATCAATTTGAAAATTTTATTTCCTAATTTTATTTTCATAAGGTTGTGTGTGTGTGTGTGTGTGTGTGTGTGTGTGTGTGTGTGTTTAGGCTTTATAAGCCCTAATGGCATTAAAAATGTTGCCCTGATAGGAAATGTAGCTCATTGTGCAAATGCCTTGGGCCTTGCTCTCTTAACACAGGCTATAATTTGGAACTTAGTAGATTCTGATGGATTGGACAATGCATTCCCATATTATGTCTGTGAAGAGACTACTTGGCCCATAAGTAAATGTTTATGAAAAGTAATTTTAACATACAACAGTATAGAAAGAAGCTACAAGATATGTAACTATTGCCTTTAGAAATATAAGAAGAAAAAAAAAAAAGACTGGAAATGACATGCTCTTACCATTTGTTTTGGAAAACATGTGTTTTTAAAAAACAAAGTAATTTTCTTTTGTATCTCTTCATTTTAACTTGATGACTTTTTTGGTTTGGGCTGCATTTGTAGAGGTCACCAATTCTGAGATTTAGGTGAACAATTCAGTCACCAAGTTTAGAATTGTCTTTGAGGCTTCTAAGAGTCCCACATGTTTAGTCTCCTATCAAAATGTACTCCTTACTACTGAAATATATTTTAGTTTAATAAGGATATACAATTAATAAATTTTCTACATACTAAAGAGAGAGTTCATAGAACCCAGGAGCTATGCAGCCTTTATTTTATGATCAGTAGTGAAATTCGGTGAGAGAAATAGCTAAAATATAAATTAACTTTAAACTGCAAGTATAAAGTTATTAACCTGCATGACCACTGGAATAGACTGTTAATGCAATTCCGAATATTATTTATTTTGAGGTTTTAAAATAAGAGTTATTTCAATTACATTTAGTAAATGGACTCGACAGAAGCATAGGCATTAATAAGTAAAGATGCGATTCTGAGAAGAACTTATTAAAATTCCTTGGAGAGGGCAGGATTGTTTGTTGAAAGATATCCAAAATATAATTTATTAATTTAACTTTGGACTTCCCATTCAATTCTGTGGAGTAAAGGAACTGAAGTTCATTAACTGTGAATAAGTACATATTTTTTAAACAATAACTGGTATATTTAGAATGGGATTTTCTTTATTGAAAAGTCTCAATTTGTTTAGCAAATATTTTTAGAGAAAGCACAAATGTTACTCTTGCTGTTAACAATTATCACAAGATAACTAAGGAAAATAGGTGCATTTGTAGAAAATTGTTTTTCCTTTCATTTTGTCTTCCTGTCACTTCCTTTCACTTTCCAAATTTACTGTAAGTCACATATTTTTCTTAAACTTAAGAAATAGCTTATTCTTTGAAAAATTGTTTTCTTTTTAATATTTTCATATCATTTTACATACCAACCATAGTTCCCCCTTCTCCTCTTCCTTCTGCTCCCCCCTATTCTCCCCAATCCATTTCTCAGAAAGGGCAAGGCCTCCTATGGGAAGTCAACAAAGCCTAGCACATCAAGTTGAGTCAGGGCCAAGTCCTTCCCCTCTTCATCAAGGCTGAGAAAGGTATCTCACCATAGTGAATGGGCTCTAAAAAGCCAGCTCATACACCAGGGATAGATCCTGGTCCCATTGCCAGGGGCTCTACAAACAGACCAAGCTACACAGCAACTGAAAATCTTAGATAATTTGTATGTCTTCAACTAAAGATTTGAAAGAGAAATAAATGCACTGAATTCCTTATACTTTCTATTTTTACATTTCAAGTAATCTTAAAATTCAAGTACATTTGTAATCAAAACAGACACTAGGCAGCCAACACAATGAAAATCAAAACTGGGAAAGATAGATTTTCTGCTCTGATGAACTGGGCTTTTTCATAGGTAGCTTGCCATCCAAGTGACTTTTAAACATTGCTTGCAATTCATATTATGAAGATACTGAGACCCATACACAGCCTTCCTAGGTGGCTTGAAATACTCTCTGGGTTTTCTCCAGTGCACATGAGTTAGGATGACCTTGTCATACAGAGCCACTCCACAGCAGAAGCCTGGAATTTGTTCTGAACCCCAAAGTGTTCATTTATAATCAGGATTCAAAAGTAAGCTACACTAAATCACCTTAAAAAAAAAAAGAAATTCTGTGCCAGGCATGGTGGTGTACTTCTTTAATCCCAGAACTCTGGAGGCAAACGCAAGTGAATCTCTATGTGTTCGAGGCCAGCCTGGTTTACAAAGTAAGTTCCATGACAACCAGGGCTGCACAGAGGAACCTGTCTTGAAAAACCAAAAAATTATAAATAAAAAATTTCGTATTATGTTTGCTATTGTGAAAAATTCCTGCTGAATAGTCAAAAGGAGATAAAAGAAAACTTTACAGATTGATAACAACTCCTTTCGTACACAATATCCTAATATGTTGTTTCTGTAGATTGTGTCAGAACTATTACATTCGGAATGGGGTTCAGCACAGAGTTGTCAGCACCAATTCAGAAAGAAGTGCTTGACCATCTCCAGAAGAGTCTATAGGATAATCTGTTTCCTCAGGAAAACAGGAAGAAGAGACTGGGTCTCAGCTACTAAGAATCCGTCGTTTCCCCAAGAACCTTTCATCATTGGAAGGCTGGCTTCTCTCTTCTTTGCCTTCAAACTGTCAGCAACCTGGTGGACCCTGCCTATCAATTTTCTCTCCATTCCTATTCTCACCACTCTGCTGAAAGAAACTATTTTGTTCAGAAATAAATGGTTCCTATTCTGTAACGTGTCATATCATCAAATGTACCAAATTCAGGATTTGATTTAATCCTAATGAACTCAACTTTATAGAATACCTTAGGGTTGGTAGTATGGCATATTTATTTTTGTTCTTTCCGGGCAAGTAAAGCAAATTAATGTTAGTTTGGAATTTGATATATTCTACTGCATGCTTATAAAGTGTTTAAAGGTAGTTCAATATTTCCCCCAGAGTCACTTTAAAAGGCTGTAGTATAATTAAAATGAAAATCACTCAGTCTTTTTATTTGTAAAATCGTCATTGGAAAAATCTACTGATCCACAAATTAGGGCTATCATGCTTTATGCTGCTCTGCAATTGAACAAATATCTTATGCAGAGAAAACAGAAAGTGCACCAATAAACTAAAATGCCAAATTATATTGGAACAGAAACCCTGTGTTTTTTTTTTTTTGTTTGTTTGTTTTTTCACTTTGGATTTCTCCTAGCCCCGTTTAAGTACCGGAGAAAGCAGAGAAATGAACAAGAGAAATACAACATAAGAATCACAGAGAACAGACTATGCCTTAAATTCTACAGAGAGATGAGAATATGATATCCTCCCATATTGGCACTATCTCAAATTGTGTTTTGTGAAAATAATGGCATAAGAGGTGTTCTTTCAAGCTCCATGCCACAGCAGACAATATAAATCTAACATGCCCCTGAGTTCTTCTGAGTGTCTGTTCAGGAGAACTCTCCAGGCCTCCAGCTACTTAGCAGCACAGATAGTTCTCTGCTCTTTGTGAAGCTTCTTTTTGCTTAGAAGTACAGCATCAATTGTAGAAGGAGCAATTCCACTGAAGATGCATTACATATGTTCAATATGCTAAAATCCATGTACAACATTTTTCATTGATCTCAATGCACAAAATTTTAAATAAACGTATGTAATATGATCTTATTTTCCAGGTGAAAGAAAACTCTAATGTAAAAAAGTGAATTATTTTATTTTAATGGTAATGTTTTATGTTTTTTTCATATTGTAGGGATATAAATCATTTTATGTTTTAGAATAGTCTACTTTTGGCAGATTTATAGAAGAGAGAGAAACCATATATATTCATAGTAGATATGTATTCTAGTCATTAGTTACATTTTATAATGATATATTTTATCCTAATTCAATTTTTAGACAAATATGAAAAAGCACAGCTTCATAGTTGCTAGGCAGATCACATAAAGCATTCTTAGCTTCCAACTCAGTTCTTGATAAAGATGTTTGATACATACTGACCCACGTGTTCAAGGTTGCAAAGGTAGCAAACAGAATTCCAGGGTTTGTTGATCAGATTTCAGTCTTTTCAATTAGCATCTTCAAGAGAGAAGCACTTACCAGACACTCTCCTGTGTTGTCATCACAGGATTCTGCATGACCAAAGCACTGACATGGTTCACAGATGCCACCGAAAATAGTGCCATTAACTCTTCGGTGCCTAGGCCAACATGACTGAAAAGAAGGTAAGGTTTCAGTCACTTTTCAGTATTTAGAAAAAAAGAAAAGAAAAGTAGTTCCCCTTTTCCTAATAATAGAAAATAACCCAGGTAGCAAACTCAGCAAATGAGCTTGTCAAAAAAGCAGAGCCATTATTGAAACATTGCTACTGAGCTATTACTCCTGACACTAGGACTTTGTACTGACCTTACTGTTATTGGCAGTTTTGAGATTAGAGGAAACGTTAGCTTGGTGTCTCTTCTGAAATGGTAAAATAAAGCACAGATATAAAGAATTGAAATGTGACAGTCTCAAAGCCAAAAGCACAGACAAGAAAACAGAAGGAAAGACACTGAGGAAGGAACGCAGCAGGCTCGAAAGGAGCTTATGGAAACTTGGGCTAAAGGAGCACACCGTGTTTTCACAGATTGATTCTCTGCATGGAGAACCTTTCCCCACACCCTAACACCTTCACATCCACAGAATCTTTGGAATCCTTTGGAAGGCAATGTTTCCCCTTCTCTCATTTCAAAACATAGCCAGTGGCTGGTGCACATTCATGATTCACATATTTCATCTTAAATTTCCTCTGTCCTTTATGCCTTCTCAAATTTGTAGGATATAGGTTATGATTTATTTAGCATATTTCCTTGCTAGTTCACTTATGTTATTTGAGTTCATTTTTATTTTTTGACTGTAAGCATGTTTATTATTCACCACTGGTATGTTTTAAATGTGGAACAAAATTATTTGAAAACAGAAAAACAATGACAGTGGGTTATTTGCACAATAGGTAACCTGCGGGTCAGCACCTCACATCTACTGTCACTATTCGTTTCATTTCCTTTCTGTGTGGATTTCCACAGACATGATGAAATGTAAAAAAAAAATGTGCAAATATTGCTGCCCTCTGGAAGTTTATGATACCCTCAGGTTGCAATTGCATCTTGTGAGTTATTTACTATGTTTCTGGATGGTTAAATATACCATCATATGTCAAAAAGAGGTCCCCTTTCTAGTTGGAAATGGAAACTAGAGAGAACCACTGAAGTAATAAACTACACAGAGCCATGCTGTGTAATGTGGGAAACGATCCTTTTGCCTCAGGATGCGAGGAAACTTCCATTTGAACAATAACAACAAACATGTGAAAAAGACACACTAATATTTCTCATCTGAGAAGAAAATAAAATCCACTTTCCTCTTAATTTGATCAGTACACAGACAATGATTCTAACTTCATGTCTCCTTCCAGTATGCTTTTCTCCATTTTGATACAAGTAATTCCTTCTCTAACATATAATTTTCAAAACCAGTAAGCCTTCATAATCCAGATGGAGGTAAAATGTGACGGTGCTGACAGCACAATCAGATAATTTATTGTTGTCAAAGTAGATCCCCATGCTATTCTCTTAACAATTTAAAAACTACTTTTGAACTTTGCTTGCACTAATCTTCTTTTTATAAGCATTCCAATTTCATATACCTTGCAGTAGTTTGGATGAAAATGACTTCATAGCTTGTAAGTTTGTGGAATTATTTAAGAAGGATTAGGAGGTGTGGTTTTGCTCAAGGACTTACGTTGCTGGGGGCGTGGGCTCTGATGTTTTCAAAGGCCATGTGCCATTAATAGTGTGTCTTCTGTCTTCTGCTTGCAGATCAAGATGTGAGCTCTAAGATGTTCCTGCTACCATGCCTTTGTTCTTGCAACATAGCCTCTAACCCTCTGGAGTTGTTAGCATGATTAAACACTTTCTTCTATAAGTTACCTTGTTCATGGTGGGATGTTTTTCACAGCAGTAGAAAATTAATTTACAAACCTTTTCCTTAGCCATGGAATTTACATTAATACACATGGAAAAATTAAAGCCATTATACTTATCTTTCCACTTATAAGCCCAAAGGCACCTCTGTACCCGTTCCCCATCCAAAAGGATAGAAATGAGAACAGTATTCTAAAAGGAAGATCACCTCACTTATAGAACTCAGTTCATGTTTTAACAACATTCTGACTCTCGTTTTTCTTTTATTGAATAATTACCACCCTTGTGAAAATATTTTCTCCACAAAAGACAAGACAGCAAAATCACCCTAAATGGAAATTTTGGAAATGTGATGTTGGCATAGAGTTGAAAGGAAGCAAGCATTTGCAGGACAGAGGAATCAACTGGGTCACGTGATAAAATGTAGTCACATATTTGGCTACCTTGAATCGGATGGCCAGAGCAAAAGCAGTTTGCTTGAGTAGGCATAAGAATGGACTGAAGTGTGGAAGATCACTGAGGAAGAAGTGGCATTCATTTTACTGAAAACAAAACAAATTTTTTGTATACCTTCTCTCATATATCCTTTCTTAACACCTCTAACTTAGTTCAGCTACTTAAAACTTTATTTATTTACTTTAAGGATATGGATGTTTACTCTGTTTGCATGTCTGTGCATCATATATGTGTGTGGTGCCTGAGGAGGCTAGAAGACAGTACTATATCCCCTGGGATTGGAGTTACAGATTGTTGTGAGCCACCATGTCAGTGCTGGGAACAGAGCCAGAGTCCTCCAGAAGAGCAGCCAGTGCTCTTAACTGCTCATCTGTCACTTCACCTTCAGTGATGATTCTAGAGGCCACATCTGTGATTCTTAGAACACTGTTTTCTATTTTTAAGGCTATAATTGTCTCAAGTGTGTATGCTCATAAAATACTTTCCACTAAATGAAAGTATAAATACTTCTCAAAAGTAGTTAATATTAACTCAGTTTTATAGAAAAGAAATCATTCAGCCTAAAACTTATATTATTAGCCCACTTTGTTTTCACTTCTTCATCTGTCAGGAAGACAAATTACAAAATATTGGGCACAGAAGAAAAAATGTTAGAGACTAGTTATAGAAATTCATAATATGTAAAACGAAATGAGGGACAAAAAATAAAATAGAAAAACAACATTCTGAGGGTAGTGTACAACGCTCAATAAAAATGTATGTGATGACTGGCTACAGTGGATACACAATCTACTTAATCTATATTATTATAAGACTGATTGCAATAATCCTATCAAAGTCTCTATAGGTCAAAGTACTGTTGTAATACTAATATATGCCCTTGTTTATTTAAAAGGTTGTTACTCTTCATGCAGAATTTCCACTGGTACTTTTGTTAGTACAGCAATTGGAAATAAAATTTGATTTAGTTACAAAAATAAAACCCCATACCCCCAACAAAAAGCATTCCAAATCAGTATTGTGACCTCCAAATAAGATAAAAGAGAATATATTTGGTAATAGATTCAGTGATGTGCTGTTGACTGGGCAGGCCTCAGCAAGCTAGGACTAAGGCATATTGTCCTTGTAGACCACTCAGCTTTGAATACATCCCAGAATATTAGTGATAACAACAATAGAGTGACTGGCCCTAAGAGTTGGGCTCAATGCAAAAAAAGCAATCAAAACAAGTGGAGGCCAGGGATGGAGAACATTACATCTAAGAGGAGAAAGTTTTGATAAGGTCTTCATTGGTTAACAGAGGCTAAATAAAGAAAACAGAGAAGTCCAGAGTTTAAAAAATTGATTGCCCTGCCTTAACTAAGTTCTTTTTTATCCATTTCAATGTATCAAGTATTGTACTAGAAGTCCTGGAAGCTTTTATTTTCCCTTCTCCATTTCTGTGTTCTTTCCATGTCTTCACACATCTTTCTTTGTTCCTCTCCATCATCACTTGTTAACTTCTCCATGATGCTTTCCCAGACATCTGCCTCCACTGAACAGCTCAGTCCTCTGGATGACTGTCGCCATTACCTCATCTACCACTCACTGCTCTCTTAATTGTAAAGCACCGTGACTCACTTTTCTGTGGTATTTGTTCTCTATCTAATCAGATTAGTAGATCTGTCTACTAACTAGTAATCTGTCTACAGAGGTTGAACTGTCTACTTATTGCTAATTTATACAGATGAATTTATAAAATTTACTGAATATATAACTTATCAAAAATATTCCACAGGATAAAAAAGGAAAACATATAATTGAACAAGTCCAATATTCAGATGACTTTATATTCAATGGGCATTTAGTATAAAAGTTGGTGGGGAGAACTGAGAATAAAATGGAACTATATTAAAAGCAAGAATAGGATGAGGGCATTTATTATTCCAAGTGAAATAGGAATTTAAAGCTTCAAAGGGATCTGCCTAGTTTGAAATCAAAACTGGAAGACTTGTAATAAAGGAATATTTTATCAAGTACAGCATGTGTTTTATATGTAAAATCAAATTTGAGTTGACATAACTAATTCATATCCATGATTATTTTTCCTCTTATCTCTATAAATTTTGGAAAAGCAAGTACTTCAATGAATTTCATTAGTTTCATTTCCAGACAGACAAGTCTCTACCCAGTTTAAAGAAAACACATTAGTCATGAACATAACTTTAAACTCTGTGTAGCCTCTGGAAGCATGTATTACTTTAAAGAACACAAGATCCAGCAAAGTTTGCCTGGGGTGTTTCTCCAAATGGTGTTGTGGAGTGGAACATCTCAGAGCACTCAAATAACTCCTTCAAGGTACCGCCTTTAAGAGACTTAAACTCTTATTTATCTACAAGTCACTCCTTCCACCAGGAAAACACACACACACACACACACTGCAGAAGAGAGAGAGAGAGAGAGAGAGAGAGAGAGAGAGAGAGAGAGGGAGCAGAGAGACAGACAGAGACAGAGACACAGAGAGATTTCAAGTAAATCAAGTTTCAAACTACAAAAAACGTATCAATTTATCATTTTAAAATCACTTTAAAATGATATGACCAGCCATTAAGAAATACTGATTTTTTACAAAATTACAACAATAAAGATGTCAAGCCTCGGGTGCTCAAGAGTAGGGAAGAGTTTTAGAAGGTAATTTATTTCTCCAACACATTCTGCTCTTGAAGTTTTAAGGATTGTATTCTGGGCTCGGAATGCTTTCTTCAGAAAGAAATAGAAGGAGAGGGTGATAGGACTTAAAAGTGGGAGAGGAAAGAGAAATGAAACAAGTGTCTGTGCCTTAACAGAAATAAAAGGGAAATATTTTTGAAATATGATTTTGCCACCATCACCTTTGAGCTGGCTAAAAGGGGAAGGAACACACAAATTGCACTTATAGTAGGGGAAAATATTTCAAATGCCACTATGTTTTTGAAAATACATGGTTAACTCTGTTGAAAGGCCATGAATGCTAGGCAGATGTTCTAATTACTCCTTTAATCTTACATGGATGAAGCATGGGGGGATCTCAAGGCCCTACACCTAACTGAGGCATCTAACAGCTTCTAGGGAAGAGAGAATCATTCTTTTGTGGGGTTAGGGCCACTGGTAGGTTGTCCGTACTGCTGCAGATGGCCATGCCCACACACATTCAGAAGGTGGTCATTGGACATATTATTAGTAACAGTAATCAAAGAGAAGACAAAAAGTAGAGAAGAGCACCTATTGGGGGACCCAGTGATCTGGAGGATGGAAGTAGGGGTAGTTATGATCTTAATATGTTGAAAGCATCTATGAGATTCTCAAAGAATAAAAAAATGAAGCCAAAACAGTATTATTTAAAGAATATGTTCATACAGTTATGGATTGAAAATTTCAAAACATTAATTTTTGAGCAGTGTTTTGGCAACACTATCTGAGGGATTGGTTCCTACAAACTTACCTCACAAGAGCTGCCACTGTACCCGGGTGGACACTGGCAAACTTCCACAGCACTTGCGATACTTCTGTCAGTAGGATAGGGGACAGCAGATTCAAGATTGACAGAGCTCAACCTGGGAAGAGAAAAACAAAACAGTGGGTCAGTAAAAAAGCTATGAAGTATTTTGGAGATAGATGAATCGTGGTATGTGAGTATCCATAGCAATGAGAATATGAATAAACTATGTTTAAAAAAGATGCTTCTGTAACTTGAAGCTTCTGTCACTCACAATAGAGTCATGGCCTCTGCATCCATGGAGTCAACCAGTGCATACTGAAAATATTTGCACAAAACATTCATATTTGTACTGAGCATATGCAGACCTTTTAAAAATAGCCTTTGTCATTATTTCCTAAATAGTACTGCATTGTATCTACTTATATAGCACTAGCATTATATTAGGTATTATAATGGCCTAGCAATAATTTGTGACTATAATTTGAATTTCAAGTATCCTATATCAGTTTACATGGAGCCTTGAACACTTGATACTCTATCAGTGATGGTGTCTTTGGGAGCCTGAGGGGTCTACCGATGATTATTTTTGGTCCCTATATTTGCATCCAACTCTTTCTGCTTCCCAGTCCACTGTGATGTAACAAACTGTAATGTATGAAAGAAAATAAAAATAACAATGACATAAAAGAATTAAAATGTATCAAAGTCCTAAATGGAAGAAATTATGAAACTAGGGAAGAAAATAGAAGTTGGTATGGGTTACACAACAAGACCCTATTTCAAAAAAAATAAACAAAATCAATCAAACAAACAAAGAACAAAAACAAGGAAAGTATAAGAGAATATTCAAACTTCAATTTTTAAAAAACTAGATAACTTCCAATGGAGGGATTGGGACATCAGCCCAGCCACACAATATATGGGATATGCAGGTGTAAGGGTGGTGTAGAGATTGTGAGAATGGCCAATCAAGGACTGGTCCAGCCTGAGACCCATGCCTCAAGAGGGATCCCATCCCTGACACTGCCTAGAAGTACCAGGACCTAAAAGGTAGATGGCCCAGAGACCTAGGATACAACCAAACACAACTAGAGAAAAAAAACAAACAAAAATCAATGTAATGATGTCTAATGATATTCTGCTATACTTATAAGTTGATGCCTAGTCACCAGAGAGACTTCATCCAGAAATTGATGGAAACAGATGCAGACCCACTCCACAGACAAACATTAGGCTGAGCTCAGGGAATTCTGCTGAAGAGAGGGAAGAATTGTAGGATCCAGAGGAGTCAAGGACACCACAAGAAAGACAACAGAAACAACTAACCTGAGCTCATAGAAGCTCACAGAGACGGAACCAACAACCAGGGAGCCTGCATGGAACTGACTGAGGCCCTCTTCATATATGTGACAGCTGTGTAGCTTTGGACTTTTTGTGGGATTTCTCATGGTGGGAGCAAGGGCTGTCTCTGACTCCTTTACTGGATTTTGGGAACCTGTTCATCATACTGGGTTGCCTGCCCAGCCTTAATAGAAGGGTAGGCGCTTATTCTTACTATAGCTTGATATGCCATTTTTTGTCAATATCCATGGGAGATCTGCCATTTCCTGAATAAAAATGGCAAAGGAGTGTATGGGGTGGGGAGGTAGAGGAGAGGTGGGGAAGGAACTTGGAGGAGATTGTGGTTGGAATGTAGAATAAATATATAAATGAAAAGTAGATAAATAATAATATCATCAAACAAAAATCTAATTGTGACATGTAGGATAGCTCTCTGGTAAGCTATTTGTGCAGAGAGGCCCAGAGTCCCCCAAACAAAACAGTCTATTGCCAATGTCTTTGATTGCTCACTAAAACCAGATCATAAAGCCCCGTTGCTTAAGACACCACACACTTGGGCTGCAGGATATTGAGAAACCAGGCTGCATCTGGGAGTAATTTTCCTCCTTCTAGCTACCTTTCACAGTTCTGAACCCTGATATTCAAGTTGTTTGAGGGAAAGAACCATCAATTGTCTACCTAGATGCTAACCCCATGAGGTACAGTAATGACCTTCTTGGGAGGAAATGTCCTCCAGCACAATATGTTATGATTGTCAGGGGGAATAACCAGTAACCAAACACATTCTGATTGGATTATGATCAGAAAGTCATGGCTGAGAGAGCATACTCCCTAGGGGTGAATTTCTACTACTGTTTTGCTAAATGGACATAGTGTCAATTTGCCTTCTAAGTATTTGTTTATAGCCACAGATTAGTGTTTCAACTTTTATCAGTTTGCAGTGGGTGTGGCTTAATGCAAAGACTCAAAAGGGATGAGAATATGTGATCATGGAATGTCCCTAAATAGGGTATCCATCTCTCTCAGGCTCAGGAAACATTGTGAAAGAGAGCACAGAGACAATGTACAAGCCAGAGGTTGGAGAGGAATGTTGCTAATCCTTTTCCTGCTGTCATGAACCGAGAGAACGTCAATAAACATCAATATGCAAGTATCTCTGAGGTATGAAGAAGAATACTTTGCTTATATGGCTGCTGAGGAGTAGAATAGTTGGATCATAGGGCCATGCTCTTTCTAGCATTTTTAAAAGCCCCACGCTGATTTCCACAGTGGCTGAGCCAGCTGACGCTCCCATCAACTATAAATAAAGGTTCGTCATTCCGGAATCCTCACTCACATTTGCTGTCATTTGTTTTCTTGATGGTAGCCATTCTAGTGAGTGAGATGAAATCTAAAGCAGTTTTAATGTCTGTTTTCCTGCTGGCTAAGGATATTGAGCACATTTAAACTGTCTATTGGCCATTTGTATTTCTTCTTTTGAGAACTGTCTGATCAGTTCATTGGCATGCTTATTGGTTGCAAAAGTTTATTCTTTTTCTTTTTTGATGTTCATTTTATTCTTTCCTATTCTCTGGATATATCTTTGAGTATGTATTAATTTCTATGTCATACTTGACGCAGAAACGAAAAGTTAATTTGAAATATGTAGATGGGTAGAATCTTTCTAGCCACTGAGTGACATATCAAACTTCAAAGGATAAAGCATTACCTTTAACTGCATATACACACAGTCAATACTATGTTTGAGTACTTTCTTTGAACATCTTGGTAGAAGGTCTAAGACTAATGGGGCATCTTTATAGTGTTTCCATACACAGGTCACTTAAAAATCACAAAGTGGAGTTTTTTGCTCCTCAGGTAACCTTGTACATAAAAGATCTAATTTCATGAGCATGTCATTATTCAACTCTTATTATTTAAGATGACATTCACAAAATAAAATTAGTAACTAGTTATTAGTTTAGAATCCCATACACACTGATAGTGCATTTTTATCAAACAAACTCCATTCCCTCCCCCTCAACTCCTCTTCTATCCCCCAATTACTGTCTTCTTCTTAAAAAAACAAAACCAAATAAAAAACAAAAATCAATGAAACAATCCTTTGTTCATTTAGTGCTTCCCATACATGCGCAAGTATAGAGCCATTCATTAGAGCAAGAATAGTTGCTAAGGGGGCACCATCCCTGAAGAAAACTGAATCTATCTATCTATCTATCTATCTATCTATCTATCTATCTATCTATCTATCTATCTATCTCTGTCTTTCTCCATCTCTCCCTTCTTCAATCCATTCCCCCACGAATTGTCAATAATTCTACAGCTAAGGGTAGAGCTTCATGAGCTGCTCTCTCATTTTAGAGGGTAAAATTTTGTCATTTAAGATATTCAGAATATCATGCAGCAGCCACCTCGATCTAGAGCAGTGGTTCTCAACCTTCCTAATACTATGATCCTTTAATACAGTTCCTCATGTTGTATCCCCAACCATAAATTATTTTTGTTGCTACTCCATAATGATAATTTTGCTATTGTTATGAATAGTAATGCAAATATGTGATATACAGACCCTGTGAAAGAGTCGTTCAACCCTCAGAATGGTTGCCACCCACAGGTTGAGAACTGCTGCTGTAGATCCAAGACAATTTACCAGACCTGAACTCCCCCTGTCCCCAGTGCCCAGTCAGCTTCTTTTCTTGCTTCATTCTGCTCTCTCATTATTAATTCTTAATGGTAGACTAAGCAAAATGTAACTTTGTGTCTGCTTTCTCTCATTTCTAAAGTTCAGCTTCACTGTTATACATGTCAATACATTTTTATATTCCTAAGCAATATTCTACTATATGCCAATCTTTGTCTTCTACTCATTTATGGATATTTGAGTTTTTCTACCACTTGAATGCTATGAATCTTTATAAACATGTATTTTCAGTGTCTCTTTTCCATTTTTTTCCTGGTTATAAACTTTGGAGAATGTCTAGATCTGCCAAGTTTTCTTAACACAATGTGTACACAGCTAAAGATAATGTTTACCTTGGTTGACACAAACATGAATTATTCCTTGATCACATAAACCATGCCTTGTTCTTTACATACTCAGTAGGACTGTCTGAGTCTTTGTGCCACATACTTTTGATGGATGCATCGACAGATGGATGAATGGATGGATGGATGGATACATTGATAGACATACTCAGGATTAGTTAAAATACATATAAGTTAGTAGATGAATGGAATACAGTTATAGTAGACATGATAACTAAAATAAGTCCAATAAAGCCTACCATCCACATTTCAAAGAAATAAAAATCAGCAAATAAAAATTAAATTGTGTGTTTGATCTGACATAGAAAAAAGATGGGGGAAAGTTAGTTAGGACTTTTAAAACCAGAGGCCCAAAATGCCCTGAAAATATCATGGCATCCAGCTGCCTAGAATTAATGTGCTATCAAATGATAAGCCTATAATTCTGATCATTAAGAATCAAATGGTTTCACTGTTGATAAATTAGTTGATTACCATATAAAAGAGTCACAGCTTACTAACTAGCAGCTTGATTGATAAAGACAGATATACTTCAGTACTTTCATTATAAAATTTCATTACCAAATATAAAACCCCAAAAAAGGGACATTGCAGAAGAATGATCATCTGAGTACTTTAAGACACGATTTAAAAATGAAGATACCAAACAAGAAACACTTGCGCAACTTGAACTGCCGAGTCTCCTTTGTCTTTTGAACAGCAGATGTTCTTAATCTCTGTAACCATTTT